GGGGGTGGTGGTGGAGCTGCATCAGCGGCGAATACAGACTACCTGGCGCTGCTCAAAGAAAATAAACAACTTCGCGCTATGTTGATACTGCATTTGGACTTGATACAGGCACAAAGTGATCAACTTCAAGTGAAGGATAAACAGCTTGCGACACAAAATGAAGAACTGGATGAAATACGCACTAAAAATCAACAGCTGGAGACACAAGTGCAAGAGTTGCAGAAACAATTACAGCGGCATATAAAACGAACCGCAGTTTCGCCACCACCACTTGCAAAGATACAGCGTACAACTGAACCGTTATTAACCAGTCTAGTATCTCCTGCAACATCAGCAGCGGCAGTGACTACTTCTACCACACAGAATATAATTGGCGAATGCAATGGTAAGCTTATAAGTAAAATAATATTGCAACGTGTTAGTTTGCCTGAGGATAGTCCGAACTCGACAACCACTGGCACTTCCGAAACCACATCCGATGCGGATGACAGCACAGCTAGTAAGACACATGCCGAACAAGATGACCACGACGATGACGATGCTGGTGACAATGAGGAGGAAGAAGAAGAAGACAATGATATGGAGGACGGTGGCGAAACTACAGGCAATACTACTGAGGACAGCAATGATGTGCTTGCGTTACTTACTACGCTATCTGATCATCAAAGGATGTCACCAGTACTTGTATCGCGTGGCGCCAAAACTTTACGCCAACTTGCCGCCGTTCCAGAACAGACCACGGATTCGACACCGACAACTACAACGTCCGCATTGCCTAGTACGCCTGCGGTGGTGCCCACCGTTACCACTACTGCTCCAACGACAACACAAGTGTGTGTTACCCCACCAACGCCAAGTCGCGGCAAACAGATGCCGTTGATGTTGTGGCATGCGCCAGATTTGCAATCCGATGAATCTGCAAGCTGTGAGTCACTTGGCGAACTTTCTGATCAGGTAAGCGTGTATGATCTAATTTTTTTAGTTGAGATATTAATTTAGTACATCTCTATTTAGCGCTCAATGATTGCCTCGCCTGCTTCGCCAAAAATCGAACATAAATCGAAGAAACCAAAGAATATCACAACAACACACTCGCTTCGAAGCGGAACCAATTTGCAATCACAGCAACGACAAAATAAGCCACGTCGATGTGCTTACATATCCACAGGAGAAATGTACTGCACACGTGCATGGGAAGATGAAGAGGTAATTGCTGATGGTTACGAATTCATTAAGGAAGAGGCCGAAGCACTACAAGCTGATGCACCCATGCTAGAGATACCCAAATGGACTGAACACGAACTTGCCGTATCTTACTGCATCGAAGGCACCGAAAATCTATCGGATGAAACGTTCCTTAAGCGTCATGAGAAGTTAGAATTGGCCGAGAGGAGACGTAAGAAATGGGACGTGCAGCAGATACGCGAACAGCGCCGCATTGAAAAACTGAAACGGCGTCATTGCAAAGATGAAATACAAGTACCGCCGGAACAACAGCCATTATTGAGTTTCTATCCTCAGCCGGATACCGTGCAGACAATATGCTTTACTAGTGATTTGCCAGTGCAAGCATTTGGTGAGCTAGTGCCGAAATTGAATGCACACAATGAATTTGACTTGCCATGGCTTGAAGCATTGGCTACTGCACGCACGCCAGGCTCGATTGTGACATTGGCGCAAAGTCAAGCCGGTGCCAATCCATCGTCAGCACAAGGACAGCAACAGCTGATGAATTCGACCTTTGTGTTTGTCAAAAAACGTAAGCGACAGCAAAGCAACACAGCTGGTGGTGCAGGAGTAACACAAACAGCACGTCAACGTGGCGGACGGCGTAAGGCAGCAGCAGTAGCGGACGCTACCGCAGTTACGGCAACGGTACCCGAGACTGCTGCAACAACGGCAGTCGCCACTGCAACGCCAGTTGTGTCAGAGACTGCAGTGGCAACACAGCCAGCGATGGCAGAGCCAACTGCAGCTACAACAGCAGTTATTGATGATGTTAACATCATTGCGAGTAAGGTTACCAACGAAGAACCTCCAAAGTAGTTAAGCTTTAACGCTGCAATTAGCAAAATGTATGTTAATGTGCTGGGAAAGTTCCGAAGCTACTTAAGAAAGTATAGTTGGTCTCATCAGTAAAGTTTAAAAATCTATTTGTAAATGATTTTCAAGTAAGTCAATGCGCTGGTGGGGTGCATTTTATGAATTAATCTCTGTATGGTAGACTAACAAAATTAGTTAAGCCAATACAATTGAACACATGTATTTTGGCGGATGTTTCACAAATTGCTGTAGTAAGTTGGTAATTAAGTACATATTTCGCACAAACCTTGAACTTGAATTCAGTGCGAGAAAACTCTGTCGTGTGCACTAATCATAATAACTGCTGCTGGCTTGCTGTTGGCCCAGAAACTAGAATGCATGGATGGAGTATATCAACACCCCTAGTTTAATAAATTAGATATGTATTTACCTATTTCTTTGTGTGTTGATAACTGTAAAAGCACTTATTTTCGGAAGATGTAACATTTCTCTGGTTTGTAGTAATTTATTTGGCAGAGTAGCGACGCATCAAACCTTAATAAAAGTGATGGTTAACGTAAATTACGTAAAGAGAAGTTTAATTATTGGATCATGATTGTAACGGTGAAACAACTATAATACAACGACAAATCTGTAAAAAGTCCAATACTTTTCGACCTGTTGATGTGAGTTTATACATAATTATTTGTTAATAAACAGAACAGGTGTATCAGAACCGGGCGGTTATTCATAAAATATCGCAGCGACTCAAAATTATTTATGATTATATTTTGAATGGAAAAGCCAATATGGAAAACGGGATTTTGTAAAGCGTTTTATTTTCTGGAAAAGATATACATATGTATGTATTAAATTTAGTGATTACTTTAAAAGTAAAAATGTAGTGAAATTCAAGAAAGCGTATGTAATTCAAGTCTTATGAAAAGTTCTTAGAAACAATTTAGCATTAAAGTTTTGAACGAAGAAAATAAATGACTGTAACCTTGAGTTTTTAGTGTAAAATGTAACATATTTTGGCATATATATACATACATATGTGTGTATGTAGCTTTGGACTTTTTAGCAAGTCGCTTGTATGATATTAGTATATTTCTAGTCTCATTTTAAAGCTAGAAATTTGTTGAACTAGTACATGTTGTTTTGTCTAGAAATCGCAGACATGCAATGCAATAAAAATTTGATTATTTTTGAAAATATAGTATATGCATATAGAAACGATTCGGAAAATGGATTTTCGACAATAAAAAAAAATTGAAGAAAATATTTAGGAAAAATATTATTTATTTACATACATACATATGTATTTTTCAAGCTTTCGCAGGATAAAGCTTTGAACAATCGGATTTCAGACGTTTAAAGGCAACATACGAAATAGTAGCTAAATATTAGTATCTAATTAAAATGTCTATGTAAACCTAAATTATTCAATATATTAATTATACCTAAGTTACCTTGCAAATTTATTGTTCGCTACCGCCTTCGTTAAGAAGCCCGTAAATTTATGTGTATGCATGAAATATAATTATTTAATATATTTATTATTCATATAATTGTAATTCACATCAAACAATCGAATTAAGTTTAAAAGATCAATTTTAAACTGCTTGCGCTCAAATAATTATAAAAAAATCTTTAAAACTTTAGCAAACAAACAGCAAAAGGAGATAAATTTGTACAATGTATGAAATCTAGATGGGCACGTTCCCAATTCAATTTTAGCTTTTTTTTTGTAAAATTATAAAATACATCACTACGTATGTATTTAGAAATTATTTGTGCATTCTAATATCTAATGAAAACCAAAAACATTTATGTATATTTTTTTTTGTAAATGGTATCTACCGATTTTGAAATGTACAAAATACCTTTATTTTTTTATTTTTGTTGCAAATGTACATATCTTTTTCTTTAATTTAATCAGAAGGATGTAAAATATAATTTAAAAATAAATGTGTGAGAAAAATAAAAAACAAGAAGTGTTAGCGCACAAAAACAAATATACCATGCTTTATTAAAACTAAATGCGGTAATCGGGTAAAGAGTTTTTATTTTTCTAGACTTTCGAAGGAACAAATTCAGATTAAAAAGATCGGCACCTGAATGGAACCTTTCTAGCAGCTAAACATGCTAAAGCGAGTAATGGAGAGGCAATTCCGTTGCTGGCACTGGTGTTTAGGCGACTAACAATTGCTGGTGCCTAAATGTATGCTACACTCTCAACCAAAAACCCAAAAACTCTTGCGGAACTTTATCAATGGCAAATGCTGAAGAGGCTCCGCAGGACTTGCAACCATGCAGAGGTGGTAAGTGATGGCGAGCATTTTTTATGCTACTTACTCTTCATTATTTAAATCTTAGGGAACTACGCTGAATCTTATCTTCATTCAAATGTATCCAAATACGTAAAACTTCAAAAGTGCATATTCGATCTTAAAGTTATAAATAAGTTTTTATTTTTTGTTTAATATGGATTGACTCGCTTTTAAATACACAATAGAACAATTAACAATTAACATACACAATACTTGAATTACAAATTGACTTTAAAATTGACTTTTTCCAACAAGAAATTGACTTTTAAATACTTTTTATAATTTCTCATTTAGAATTTGGCCCGCATCTTCTGCAACATCTAATACTCATCAGCTAGTGCCAAATTTATTTAACACTTTGGGTCAGATATTTATCGGCTGTTGTCTGCCACAATTCTTCGACCTCGTTAAATTTATTACGCCACAAATCCACAATCATCTTCCAACCTTCTTCTTGCGTTACCAATACATATTCGTTAGATTGGTCCAGCGAATGTGTATATGCGCCCATAACAAGACTCTGCGCCAAACGTGCTGCTACGCAATACTTCAACAGCGAACGCTCCTCCGTGCTAATCGGTCGTATATCGGTATAACCGGCAATAAAGTAGCCACCACTTTCTAGCGACTTGGCTTGTAGTATCATATAAGTTAGCGCAACACCTATTTCGAAGATTATTGGCGACTTGTTGGTATCACCGAAATCAATGATGCCTTTCACTTTATATTCGCCATCGGCGGACGTTTTCGATTGCTCAACTATGATATTTTGTTCATTGTAATCACCGTGTATTATTTGCTTTTCAAGCTTATCCAATTGTGTCAGCACATTCTTTTCGAATGCATCAATGATCTCCTCGACAATAGCTTTGCGCGAGATATCCTGTAAGACGTAAAGGAACTCGCGCAACCGTGGCACCGACTCCAACATCCAGAGAGTTTTGTGTGTATCGTAGACTTCATGTTGGAAGTTCTGGAATGTATTAGGAAATTTAAAGGAGTTTGGGAAAAGTTCACAATACACTAGGATACATACCTGCAACGTTCTGTCGACTTTGGCTATGAATTCGCCACTCTTGTAAAGCAGATAATTGGATTTTTCCACTTCATGAAACATTTGGCCTGGCACAAACTCCAGCAAACGAACAACGTGTTCAGCGCCATTTATGTTCTCCACAGAAAAGTATTTTCCATTAACATTTTCTATTGGTCTTGGGCAAATTATGCCTTCTTTGGCTAGAAGTAATAAATTGAAGTAAGTTTATAGTTTAAATTTTCTTTTTTTTTAATAAATATATTGTGTACCTAAATAAAGCATTAGCTCATTTTGAGCATCGACGAAGTCTGGCTTTTTCGAGTCAAGCGCATTTAGAATTTTCAAAATATATCCATGCGGCCATTGGGTGGTGATAATTGGATTTTTTATATTCCTGAAAAGTAGTGTACAGCAGATTATCAATAAAACTGTGGTAAATATTAGAGTGTTAAGAACAATCTTAAAAAAAAAAAATAATTAAAATATACATAGCCATAACCTAAAATTAGTTCAGAATATACAAATTGATAAACGAATAGGGCTGTTTCAGCTACATTTTCATTCGAATTGAAGTACCTTTTTTTTGTGGCCCTCGCGCTTTTGGGTTACAACAACAACTACAGAAAGGATTCGATACTAAAATCAACAGTAATGTTCGGAAGTAGTACCTATGTACATGATCAAGGTCACTTCCGGAAAATTGTTTGGAGGTGTTTTATAATAATTTCAACCATCGGCGTAGCCAGAATGAAATTTAGGGGGGAACGACCCTATTAAGCTGGCATTTCAGGGTACTATTTTATATATATATAAGGAAAATTTGAAAGTTAGGGGGGGCTCGAGCACCCCCTTGCCCCTACCTGGCTACGCCCATGATTTCAACTACTCAATCGGCTCTTCGCCACCGTTGCCGATTGCACTCATGGAAAATAGAGCAAGTGGAATTTTTATTAAGAAAAACGAGCGGAGTGCAAATCTTTTTTGTTTTGATTTTGTTTAGAATTTTAACTGGTATGTATGTATGTATGTACATATATTCAAGATAAGAGAAATAAATAGTATTATCTATCAAAGAGTCTAATTCTTTGTACACATGTACGTATATATGTACTTACAAAAGATAAGTGTGTATCCATATGCATATACATAAATAACAGTGATATTTATCTGTATTATTGTACTTATCTTGCTGAAGCATTAGATTAATTTAATTTATGAAACAAGATAAATATTCCATACATGTAAATACATATGTCCGTATATACAAATATTTTTAATATGTATATTACGTTAGCGCTTACTAGCCATTCTGGATATTATTTACCTTAAAATTGATTAGCTAAAATATTACATCCGTAAAAAATTTAATTTCCTTCCTGTGCTAGTACTTTTACAACACTAATAATTTTTAGACTGGCAATGCTACAAAAAGCTTTGGCTGTGCAATCACCTGACTGCAATGACAGTTCGTTTTTGCCGCCAATTGCTATTTGTTTACTTCATACGGGTTTGTGTTTCTTTGCTATTTAGCTCCAGCAGCCGGTTTCCAACAGTCGCTGGCGCAAATTTTGACTCAGTTATCTACTTTTCACATTCTTAAGTCGAATGTGTGTAAAGAAAAGTAAAATTACAAAACTGCCAGTTTTTTAAGCAAAATCATCATGGGTATCACCGGCCTGATACCGTTTTTGGAGAAGGCATCTTCAAAAGTACATCTTAAGGATATACGCGGCAGCACTGTTGCCGTAGATACCTATTGTTGGCTGCACAAAGGTGCTTTCGGCTGTGCCGAAAAGTTGGCGCGTGGCGAGGACACCGACCAGTACATGCAATACTGCATGCGTTATGTGGAGTTGCTGCTGAGCTACGATATCAAACCGATTTTAGTGTTCGATGGCCGTCACCTGCCAGCAAAGGAGCTCACTGAACGTCGCCGTCGCGAAAGTCGCAAACAATCGCGCAAATTGGCTGCAGAGCTGTTGCGCGCGGGAGACAAGGAGGGCGCTCGCTCGCATATGCGACGATGTGTGGATGTCACACATGAAATGGCATTACGTGTGATACGCGAGTGTCGACTACGAAATGTCGATTGCATTGTGGCGCCTTATGAAGCGGATGCACAGATGGCTTGGCTGAATAAGATCGATGTGGCACAGTATGTTATAACCGAAGATTCTGACTTGACATTATTCGGTGCGAGCCGAATAATATTCAAGCTGGACTTGACTGGCGCCGGTTTGTTGGTAGAAGCGGATAAGTTATATTTGGCTATGGGTTGCACCAAGGAGCGCTATAATTTTGACAAGTTTCGACGCATGTGCATATTATCTGGATGTGATTATTTAGACTCACTCCCTGGCATTGGCTTGGCAAAAGCATGTAAATTCATGCTCAAAACTGAACAAGACGATATGTGGAAAGCATTGAAGAAACTACCTACTTATTTGAATATGAAAAATTTGCAGGTATGCTCAAGGAGAAAAAGTTGTATGTACCATATACTAATTTCTCATTTTACAGGTCGATGATGAATACATTGAGCATTTCCTTAAAGCGGAAGCAACGTTTAAGCACATGTATATTTATAATCCCTTTGCACGACGCATGGAACGTTTGCATGATTTAAGTGAATTTGAAACAGATGAACGCTTCTGTTCCAACGCCGGCACACCGCTCGAGGACGATGAGCAGGCGTTGCAACTAGCAGTTGGAAACTTAAATCCATTCACATTGAAACAATTAGACAACTGGCATCCGGATAGAAATTTCGGGCAAGCACAGGCAAATAATAATAAAATCAAACGTGCTAAACATAAAAGTATTTGGCAGGGAAATTATCAGCCACGAACAAGCGCACCCCCGTCTACGGATGCTTTTAAGGACGTCAAATGTGCTTTGCATTTTAGAAAAGTAGATTTTATTAGTAAAACTATTGATGAAGAGATAACAGAAAATGCGCGTGTGGAACACGCCAAACCAGAAGAAGCCGAAATCTTTTCAATGTATCAGCATGAAGCCGGTGAGCTAATCGCGCCTAGCGCGAAACGACGACGCTATAGTAGTGAAAGTAATGACGAAGGTTCGGATAGTTGCATTGAACCAGAGACAATACAAAATTCGCTGCCCAAAGTAGCGCACAACACACACAATCCTTTTGCAAGGCCACAATTTACAACAGCAGCGAGTAAGTCAGTATCAATCTGTGAGAATCCTTCTTTATTAAGGGTGCTAAGTCCAAAGAAAGCACTTGATGAGACAAGCAGAGGAAATGGTATTAATTTAAAAAGTCCAAAAAGTCCGCTAGATCGGCTGGCAGAAAGGGTTACAGTAAAGAGTCGATTTTTTGCTAACAATATAAATGAAGTGCATCGAAGTAAGAAAAGCGTCAGTAGAGATTTAACTGCTGAAATCAATTCAATAGAAAAGCAATCACAGCAACAGGAAAAAGCGCGTGCAATGCTTTATGACTCGCCATCGCCTAAGAAAAAGTGCAAATTGACTTTGGAGACTAACCACGCTGCCTTTAACGAAGGTACTACAAAAACCAATATTAATAAGGAGGAGGAGGAATGTGATAGCATTGAATTGATAGAAGAATCAACGAACGTGACAAAAGCCAGTGTTTCGAGCCTAGATATCAGCTACATTGAAGATAGCGAGAGTAAAGGTAGCTTGGAGAGTGCAATAACACTATCCGATGATGATGATGTTGGTGACGGCTTTGAAAGAACCATAACGGAAACACAAACGTCAAGATCATCAATCAACCTTTTTAAATCACAAGAAAAACAACGTTTAGGTCTATCACGAACAAAAGCCAAATCAACATTAAAATCACAAAAGACAAGTGGAAAATCTAACGCAAAGTCTATGAGTACAACAACTGCTTCGTTGCAAAATCAAACACGCTTAACTATGTTTGGCTTCAAGAAGCGACCTACTTTAAAATAGCATTTATGTATACATATGCATTTGTAAGTGTTGTTTATTAGTGTATGTATGTATATGTTATTTTGTCAATTTATTATTATAATTTTGTTTTGTTATCAAGTTTTCACCTGATATCGCCAGCCATAATGTAAACTAAGCTAATTTAATAAACGTATTATTACTATAGAATAGAAAATTATTTGAGTGGTTGATTATCAATCATAATTTTATTAAACATATTGGTAAATAAAAGTTAAAATGCGAAATGCGACTAACGTTTTAATACATTTATTGCCAGTAGTAGGAAAGTTACCCAGTAGATAATCTAAGGAGCCAAAAGCCCTTTCAAAAGGGGTTATAGGCAGTGAATGAAAGGTCTTATTGATTTTGTTGTTGTTGTAGCGGCTACAACAACCCCGCCCAGATCGGTTAGTATCTCAGCCGTTGTCGTCAAGTTCAACTAACGAAAGCCCTAAGAGGCGTGCAGCCTCAATAGTGTCGGTCCACAAAGGCATTAGCGTTGTCCGGTTTTCCGGGCATACGAAGAGATGTTTCGAGTCGTGGGGTGTCTCTCCGCATGCTGGGCACTCATTTGGCACATCTGCGTCTAATCTGCTCAGATATGAGTTTAATCTGCTGTAGTAGCCAGAGCGAAGTTGGGCTATTGTGGTTCTAGTCTCCCGAGGCAGATGTCTCGTCTCGTCTCGTCGATGTCCGGTGGCTGTGCGCATACATAACTCGAGACTGACTCCCTGTGAATGCCGCTCAGGGTCTGTCGACAGCCGGTTCAGCGTACCGGAATGCCTCGGGTTTTACCCGACCAAGGGCTGTTGTTTCGGCGATCTAACCCCGTTTAGGTCGGCGAAGTATCTCAGAAGTTGTTCGTCCACAGGGCTATGTATGCTACGTATTCTTCTGCTCAGGGCTGGCATCTGACGTTTATTTTTTCAATGAAAAATAATAGTTAACATAGCACTTTTATTTTTTCAATGAAAAATAACAGTTAATATTTGACTATTATTTTTTCGATCACAAACAACAGTTAACTACCGACCTTCATGTTAGGGGTCTTCCCACCAAGCTTGGTACGCTATAGCTCGGTGTTCGGTAATTTTTCCCCAAGTATTTTGGTTGTGTAAAGTAATTTTACGCAAACAAACATGTAAATGCGGAAAACTTATCGAACACTAGGTGCAATCCCGTATTCCTCGGACTCGGACTAGTAAAATTGTCAAAAAATAAAAATTCGCTCAAAGCAAGAGAGTAACATTGAAAAGTACGGGATCGCTTTCTTGTAAAAAATGGTTAACTTCTGTCAACTTCAACATAACCTCCAAATTTTGGTTGTAAATTTTTGCCTATTTTGTATGTAAACACACTCAGCTCACACATGTAAATAACCAAAAATACTTTCAAATTCATTAGAATCCACTTAAACAAGTAATTAAATACTTTGCAACATGAATTAGCAGAGTGCACTTTTCTTTTGTTTACAATTTGGTTGCCAAACACACTACAGATGTTCGTTTGACATATTTACCAGAATTTACCAGCAAAAAATTCTCGGACTAAAACTGGTAACTTCTGACAGAGAGAGAACCGTATTTACACTCTTTTTTGTCCTCTCAATAGTCAGAGAACCGAGTACGGGATCGATTTCCAGTAAAATCTGACTGATTCTGACTATTTCTGACTAGTCCGGACTCGTACGGGATCGCAACTACTGCTTATCGTTTATATGTAGCAATCAAACGTTTCTAACTTAAACGTTTACAAGTAGAAATAGCGAATTCTAGGATCTTGTGGAACCCTCCTTTTGTGGCTTGCTCGAGGTTATGTGAGAGTAAAATAGGACAAAACATTTTTCAATAAAAATAGTTTTTTTTTTTGGTTTTCATTGTCGCTCAATCCGAATATGGGGTCCCTTGATTCTTCAAGATCATTTAGAGGTCATGCCAAGGTAAAATTGAAAAAAAATTGTATTGAATTTTCAGGTTTATTCAATCAATTCTTACCTATTTGACCTTCATATGACCTTGAACCTGACATGATGGAGGCTAACAGACCTCAGATTCGCATTCGGGGCGTCGAATAACATAGGGATACAGAGGTTTGGTTCAATATGCATTGACTTGTTTTTTTTTTGCAAACCAGTGCTGTTATTAAGTTTTTTTGTTTTGGAGTTTTTTGTTATTGTTTTTTGTACTGATCCCCTCAGCAGGGAATGACAAGATTCTGGAGTTGTTAGCAAAGGGCGAACAGTTTTAGCTGCGTGAGAACATTCCCATGAAATTCGGCTTTACGCAACCGAAACGGCCAAGAATTCTCACTCTGATTCACCAAATATTTTTGGGGAATTTTTATCTTGTTACAACAATAACCGTAGGGAAAAGCTTTTATTTTGATTATTTATTTATACTTTATTCTAAAAACTTAAGACATTAGTCTAAATTTCGCCATAAAAAATTATTGAAGATCTGTACACTTTTTAATGGCGCACACAGTAGATACATAAATCAATGAAATTCATTTATGCTATGTATGTCAAACATGTACCAAGTTCACACGCTCGTATGCATGAATATACGAATGTATGTAAGATAATTAAGTATATACATATCATCACCTGAAATGTAAAAAGACGTAACAAACAGCGTCGCTGAAATTCAAAAAGTCGTAACTAATAAAAAATTCAAAATTCAGTTTTGGATTGATATGATGGATTTCATCGAATTACAACTCCCACATCATTTAATGAAAAAAATACAAAAATTTTAGTAACGACTTTTTCCATTTCGGTTACGATGTTGTTACGTCTTTTTGCATTTCATGTGACGATATGTACATATGTATGTACAAAGGCACATGGATATACATATGAGGAAAACCACCTGAAAATTCAATAGCTTTTTCTCTCGATGTAATTATTTGTACTTCTGTATTTTCAGTAAATACTCGTACTCATTTGACAAATAAAAACTCACATGCATAAACACTCCTCGTCATTTGAATAGCGCACCCTTTTAATACTTAGTATTTACCTTTTTCCTTTTGTTTATTTAATATTCATGAATTTTTTAATTTAGCCTATTATACAAAAAAAAAAACCTCAGAAAAGGGGTGCGCTTCCTAATGACCAATAGCGAAAGAGGTAATAATATCACTGGTTTACAGCAAAAATGTTCAGTGGATGCCACTATCCAATTTCTATAAAGAATTGCTCGCTGATTCCGAAAATCGACTTAATTTTTTATTCTATGGATAAGTTTTCAAGATATTTTCAATTTACCGTTAGTCCGCTTAAAACAAAAAGTGGTTACACTTAATCACGTATATACACTGCCGGAACAAAGTATTGGCACAGCAAATTTTTCACAACATATGCAACAATTTTTATTCTAATATTTTTCCGCCAATTTTGTATAAAAATATGGTTCATTCTACAACAAAAAACATAAAAATAAAATGCCTAAACTTTGTGCAAAACTCGCGAAAATTCTGCAAATTTTCATCAAAATTTTAAACTTTTTAATCAGATTTTTAATATTTTTTTTGAGTAAAAAAGTTTTGCAGCACATTAAATTCTAGTAAAAAAAATGCAAGTTCGGAGTTAGTCAAAAATCGCGTTATCGACTCGGTCGACTCCATAACATATAACAGGGAGTCGATAACCATGTTCAACCTATAGTTAGTGTTAACCAGACATTGAGATAATGGCCTTAAAATATTCAATGGGCTACAAAACTTAATATCCGAAATTATTCTAAAAATATTGTTAACTTATTTACTGAAGGCCAATAGGATAGCGCACCTCTTTGTTGACATTTTTATTTATTTATTTATTTATATTTTTTTTTTAATTTGTATAAATTTTATCTTAAAAATTAATGAATAATAAAAAAACAAATGGAAAACTGTGCTAACTGAGGATCAAAAGGATTCGCTATTCAAATGACTAGGCGTGTATGCATAGAATCCAATTGACTGTCTATATTGTTTACGGTAATTTATTTGTGAGCGAGATATTTGAATGTTCAATGCCGTCAATTTGGAGGTAGCGTATGTACATTAGTGAGAAAAATTGTTATGATGTGCGTTACGTAAATTAATTTCATTCAAATTTGTTATTGTTGTATTTGAATGTTATTATTTGAGCAAAAGTAAGTTGCTCTGAAATTTTATGACACGCTAAAGTTTATGTGCTAATATTTGTCAATACTGTAGACTTGTAAGTGCGGCGAACTGCTGCTTATTTTATTTTTACATCCATACATCCATACATACAATACTTTTAATATCTCAGTCTGAGCTTTTATTTGAGAGTAGCTTACGTATTTCTAGGTATACATACATACATACTCTGTATGCATTGTGTACAAGGCGCATCAATGCGCCTTGATTGTGCATGTATACACATGTATGTATGTACATACTTATATTTGTATTATTGTAAAAAGTCGAATGTGAATGATAAGTAATCGGTCACGTTCGATTGCCCGCAGTAATTACACAGACACGATAGCAAAACGTTGACTTACATAAAATTAAGACACCCTACTACCCACCCGACCATAAGCATTAGAAAAACAGAAGCCATTAAGGAGCCTTTATTTCAGATCGCTTAAGCGATTTTGGCCAAGTTCAATAAAGCACGCCAGTTTTTTCTCTTCTCTACCAACTGACGCTAATTTGAAATGCCAAGTGAACGCCAGCGTTTCTTGATTCTTTACTACTACCAGCTTCTCTTAGGAAGGGAAAAATTATATGACACAGTTCAAATTTAACTTTGCACCAGGTAACCTCTGTAGTCTCGAAAAGACACCTTCTTGGAAACGTCTGGGCTGCAAGCGTTTATTCAGAAGCACTACTCATTTTGTCGACTGGAAAGTAATGAAGTTTTGTTTGTAAGTGAAAGTATACACATTTACATATATACAATACTTGCCGGCCACGGATGAGTGAGGCTTCGCCACGCGCTGAATGTATGCCTATGTATGTACATTTACGTATTTGGAGAAAGAAATCATATGTCATCATGTACTTCGTTTATTATATACATAAAAAATCTTGTCTAAATCCGTTCGTGGCGTGGTTAAAATATCTCGCCTTTCCTTTATACTATGAATAGAAGTTAGTAATTTAAAATAGGTGGCAACCCTACTCAAAAAGCTTAAAGTTTTTGTATATGCGAAGGCCATGCACTTTGAATTGGTATCTTATTTTTTTATCCAACGAACGGTTAAGATCTTATAGTTTTTAAACAGGTGGCAACCATACTCAGAAAAATAATACATTATTACACATCCAGAGGTTAACACCCGATTTACATGATTCAAGTACTTGAAAGCAATTCTTGCTCATTCTCTTTTGTGTTTTCTATTTGCTTTTACACGTTTCAATTCTGTTGAATTCAAGTTTTTGGTTCTTTAAATGGGAAGCAACGAAAATGCCAAAAGCAAAGCAAGAAAGTTGAAACGACTTGACGGTACAGACGCATGTGTACTCGTCCCTTTTCTTCTCACGCCCTCTCTTCCACATGCGAGCAGAATTGAATTCAATACTTGAACTGTGTAAAGCAGTCTAAGTCTCTTTATTTGACAGTGACGGTGCAGAACTGACGCCTACGCTTATTAGAATTGAATATAGTAATTTCTAACAGGTGGCAACCCTATTAAAAGTCTAAATTAAAAAGGTCACTCTCCTATCGATACAGAATATATTAGAGGAAATCTCGTCAAAATCCGTTCAGTAGTTTTCGAGATTACCGCGTACAAAGAATCTCGCCTTTCCTTTATACTATGTATAGATGTCATGGCATATATACGCGTTAAATGGCATGTAAATTTTTTAAATAATGGCAATATACTAGTATACATATATCGATTGGCCCTAACTGTCAGTATTGAATGAAAAGCACTAATCTATAGAAACTCTAACGTTAAAACGAGGATGAAATTTTTGATGCTGTTTTTTTTTTAACTGTTTTCATAGATTGGTATAAGAAAACCTTGAATAACTGGACCAAAACTATTCCGATTTGGACTTATGAGTTATCATTGGTATTAAAGGTATTCTCTCTCTTTTTATTTCTTTGCAAATAAAGTCATTCAAAGTATGAAAGAGAAGGGTAGGATGAACGAGCGTCATTCCAAGTTGATTTAAGATAAAAATTGGGACGTGAATGAGTTTGTTTTTTGCAGCGGAAAAACCGCAACTCTTTTTGGTGATGCAGTCTAATGTAAATACATACATATGTATGTAAATATTTATACATGCAATAACAAACTTACCAATCTGGTTGTATTAGATAATTGCGATCATCATATGATATTAATTCTTTAATTTCATTTATTGTGATGCCGTACAGTCGTCGCACTAACGATTCCACATCCTCTGATGTTACTTTCGGCTTAATATTTGATCCTGGTTGTAGTATATTATTTTGATTCGCATTATTAGAGTCCTCATCGCCATTGGTATTGTTATTGGTAGTCGCTGGCGCTTCACTATTATTATTCGCAACGATACATTTATTAGCTAAATCATATTCATGATTCAACGTATAGGATTTTTTCCTTAAACTGGTCAATTCCACATTATTCCACTGTTCCATGATTTGACCGCACTGGTTTTTTCCTCGTCTCGTGATAACTAATTGATATTTTTACGTTAACCCTTCGAATTATACAAAAACAAAAAAAAAATATCGTAAAATCGTTATGAAAATATGTATGTTTTACGCTTGCCGTTAAGCACTTAACTACTCACCGGCACAAAAGCGAATGCTACCCACACAAGCTTCAAACGGTATGCCGTAGAGAATGCCGTTGCTCTTCACCCGGCTGAAACGCAGCAGTTGCTGCTGTTTGCTTATTGTTTGAAAAAAAAAAAATTATTGTTGTTTTTGCTTTTTTTATTATTAGTTTTTTTTTCGTGCACTTCATTTGCTGAACTCTTTATTGTTAAAGTTGTTTATCTTTAATTCATTTCAACTCTCAGCGCGACGTCTCAACTGAAGCTGTTTTGTTCTACATAGCCTGTCTATGTAGATGGGACCATGCTCGTCTTATTTGTACGGTCTAGCTGTAGAGAAGAATGCAAAGTAAATGATATAAATGTTATTAGCGCTACTTTAAGATATTCATCATCGTCATGTGTTCATGCACATACTGGCACACAAGTTATGTCGTTTAAAATACAAAACCGCGTATCGTCATTCTGCAATACCGCGTAACTGACATTTGCTGCCGAAAATTGGATTTGCTCACACAAGCTCTTGGCTCAATCCTTATCCATTTGTCCTGAAATATACTAGCCAGAAATGCGAGTGCTTTATAAAAAAGAGAACCATTTTGAAATATGAGTGGTTTTACTCCCTAGAAAATAATTTCTGCAACCCCACATACTCGGTTTTGCATTTTGTTGATACGCAGTTTTGCATTTTGTTGATACGCGGTTTTGTACTTTAAACGACGATATGTATTTATTTAAGTCACAACCTCTTTCTGAGTTATGATTTTTTTTTATGACGTTTCGTATATGTATACTATAAGCATGTACATACATGCATACATATATATGTATATAGATACGATATGATAAAGCTGGGACGTCCCTCGTCTTAAGTAAATTGATTGTGTAAAAAAATGTAGAGACTTAAAGAATAATGGATCATTTTTGAATTCTCGAGTAAATAGAAATTTAAGTAAATTTTACTGAAAAGACGCTAAATAATAATAGACAAGTGCTAAATTGGTATTCGAGCACCTTCCATGAACTAAGCAGTCATACATACATGCATTTAGTAAATATATTTACATTATGATGCATATAGCATGTATGTACATATGTATGTATGCTCACTGATCGAGCTACGATTATATCTTTTAAATCGCCTTATTTTATAAACACGCAATTCAAAGTTTATGAACATATAATCAAATTATATTGTTAAGTTTAATTTTAAATTTGATTAAATTCGTTAGGAGCAAAATATAATAAATCTCGTTGAATGGCGCTTGCAATACCTATGTATGTTTCTCGATGACATTACAGCGCACCTTAAATGTACATATCGTCGGTGATACTGCAAAACGGTCTATCGTCTGGTGCTTAATTGAGGCTGTAACGATTTGCAGATGCATTCCGGTGCAAGTAGGAGACCATATAGTGTAGACATAGACCGTTTTGCAGTATCACCGACGATATGTATGTACGTTAGTGGTAAACTTGAAAACTTTCGTCTAGATAAGATACAAATCCATGGTCGTGGCATATCGGCTGGTCATAAGGATCAACCTATACTGGAATGTAAAGATACGTAAATCAATATATGTACATATAACACTATCTAATGTCAATAAAAAATTACACATTCTTGAAGAAAACGACTGCAAATTATAGTCTTTTCCCTCATTTTTCACTTTAATATTTAACAAACGATTTAATTAAAGTTGCATAAATACACATTCCGGCAGGTTCTGCAATTCATTTGAGTCAACTTCGGTTTGAATTTAAATTGGAAGGGATTGAAATTCACTCGGAAGCAAATTGCAGAACCTGCCCGATTATTACCTAGAATTCGTCCCACGGCAGTCGGGTCTACGTAATCGGAATGCGGTCACTCCTGCATTATTTCACAAAAGATATTTGGTTAATTTTTATACATACCTGTAAAGAAATAAAAAGCCTAGATATGGATTTTCTTTATTAAGGCAACGGATATGTATGCTGCTACTCTATGTACATACATATTCATACATAATTAAGATTATCTCTCTGTACTATTTTTATGACTGTCGCAAATACGTACAAGAAGAGAAAAAAATTACATTTAATAGTAGAATCAATTGAAAAAGTTTTCCACATGCATTTAATCTTCACAATTTAGAAAAAATGCTTTAATCTTATCACAAATGTGTAAATATATGAGTAGCCATAGTAATAATATTTGGCGCTTACACTTCTATCAAGGTACATTGAACAGGTAGCATCAGTAGAGCAGCTGATTTGATTTATTTTCAAATTATTTGATCTCGAAAATGTCAAATATTTTTAATTTTTTCTCAAAAAAATTCTGAATTGTTAAAATCCATTTGCATGTGAAACCTTTTTCCATACAAAACAAGCGATTGAATAGCAGCTTTTGGAACGTTCGCCCAACTCAGCAGCACAACCGCTGATTACTGGCCCTTGTAAAGGATGGATCAATGCTTCGAGAAGCAAACAAATTTACTAGGAAAGAAAGTTGCATCAATTTTTATTTTTTCCAATTTCAATTTTTTATTTTTTATAATTTTTTGTATTTCACATGGCACGCTTTGATTTAGAACAAAAAAATTCAGAACAGTTTTTGACACTTTCGATACCAGAAGCAACAACAAAATACACGCAAATGTTGTTTTTGCTCTACTGATACTACCTGTTTAATGTGCCTTGACTTCTACTAAGTGTTTGGCATAGCTTCTACTTCAATTTGTGGTATAAAGTATTGATGTTATTATAGAAATGGAGGGACCTACAATTTCACGCCGCCTCCGAACGGCAAATGGATTTTATGAGAAGCCTTTTCATGTCAGAAATACACTCGGAGGTTTGCCATTGCCAGCTGAAGAGCGACCGCTGGTAAAAAAAACTTTTTCTAACTTACATATATGTTGCTCGGCCAGAGATCGGATCGAACCAGGGCCTTATAGAGTGGTATTACACATCTCTAAACAATCAGCCATTATTTTTCGTATAATCAGTGACTTACTACACATTTTCGCACTTGTGCAAATGTTTAGAAAGTGCAAAGTTGTAATTAGAGAGATCAAGTGAAATACTAATAGTAGGTAATAGTTAAATTTGACATTTTAATTGGGATGAAAGTGATGACTACGTGGGGGTGACAAAAAATGACTTATATGTATGTATGTATGTACATATGTACATATCTTCCCCCTTTTGCCAGAAGCATGAATGTGCAAATTTACCAATACTGAGTTATTGGGTTGACTGGATTAACAATTGGATGTTCATTATTATACCAAAACCCGGAATACCATGCATACACGGAGACCACATACATATCTTACAATGTCAATTACATGAGTGTACCCAATTAACATTGGGCTTGATTAACAATTCGAAAATGATTGGAAAACCAATACTTTTTTCGAGTCTCACCTTCGATAACGTATGTGGAATAGGTTAGTATTCGGTTCGAGAACAACGTCATTCTCCAGTAAAACGGAGCCTTCGTTATCCAAAGTATTTTCCCTTCATTATGAAATCGAAATTCAGCCCATTGTTGTATTGAAATTTTAATGAGAGAGTGATTGTTTTATATTTACCTTCGAAAATGAGCTACTATGGTTTTAATTTTTTTTTACGAACTCATGTCGGGTGTATTTCCAATATACTATGAACGTTGGAAAACTAAGGCTGGTTAGAAGTTCGTTCTCAGTTCGATATGTATGTATATCGGGTATCGAAGGTCATTTTCGAAAGTTGCCAAAATGTTTATTGGGTAGAGTTAAGTCTCGTAAGAAAACTTTCAATCTTGATTTCCGATATGTATGACTTGATGGCGATACGTACATAATATGTACTACTCGCATTGCATTTTTAAGACCTTAACCTATTTTTCTGGTTGATAATACCTTTCTCTCAGTCGTGGCATGCATACATACATATCGTCGTTTAAAGTACAAAACCGCGTATCGTCATTCTGCAAAATCGCGTAACTGACATTGGCCGCCAAAAATTGAATTTGGTCACACAAACTATTGGCCTAATCCTTATCCATTCGTCCTGAAATATACCAGCCAGAAATGCAATTGCTTTATAAAAACGAGAATGAGAATATGAATGTTTTTACTCTCTAGAAAATAATTTATGCAACCTCACATACGCGGTTTTGCATTATTATCTTGATACGCGGTTTTGCATTTTGTTGATACGCGGTTTTGTACTTTAAACGACGATATGTATATATTAACAAATCAAATCCTTGCAAAAACATAGAAACCCATACATAGCTAATTCTATTTAGTATCAATAATCAAATAGCAACCAGATTTGAATTACAACGGTGGGTCCTTATCGCTGAAGGGGTTAAAATCAAATTGACTTTTCAGTTTCTAGGTATTGGGAGTGCATAGGTTATTGTTATTTGGATGAGAGTGGCACCGGACAAGGATACGTTTTGCAACTTGGTTTTATTCTATCTTCTTTGCTGGAAGTTTAACCCATTAATAATGAGATGAAAGGAAGAAATACGTTCTTAAAATAAGATACAGACTTTTATGAAAATAACATGAAGCGGAATATAAAAAAGGTTGGAATACTTACAACATTTAAATTCGCTTGAAACTGCATTTTATAATTTACCATTATTGCCGATCCTTTTTCAAGAGTGTAACTAACGGATAGATTTGGAAAGATACATGGTTGATGAAAAAAAAACCCCTGTATTAAACCTTCCCTTAAAGCATGCAGTCCTTGCCCAGAAATTCCAAAATCTAGCCTACCTTGATAGGGTAGACTGATGAAACCTGGGAGGTTACTCTGTAATGCGATGCGAAAACAAATGATTCGGGGGTGACTGCCTATCGCATCGCATTTCTCTGTCGTATCGCATTACAGAGGAGCCCCCTTGATTAAAATTTTAATGGCAAAATAATGCTGAATCCTTTCATGGACTATACAGTTTATAGCTTCCAATGAAACATGTTTCTCCTAAAATGTGGAATAGTGTGCTGAGATGACGATCTTTGGTCCGTTTTCACAAATTCTATATTGAGAAGGAGAACTGAACATTTTCAAATCGACGATGTGTTTGGTCATAAATATTAACATTAGTTATTTACATGGTCATACGTACCTTCTACTCCGAATATCTATAATCACCAACCTTTTGTACGGTTTATATAACTAATACGCAGATTAGTGATAATTTATCGATTTATGCAAATGAGATTTTGTTTGATTGTACTACGCATAATATTTAAATGCACTTTTCTATGCGCATATAAAGTTCTACTTTTCCATGTTTACTAAACAAATAATTCCGTTGGCGTAATTTGTAAATTATAGGGGAACCAGCTGATTTGATAAATGCGAAAGCTCTCTGCAAAAGCTCTAAATTGGGTGCCAGTTTTGTAAAACGCGAAAAAAATATACAACAAAAGTATTTACAATTTTAAATTTGCAATGAAAGTGTTTATAGATTTAAGGTTTCGTATTAAATAACAAATATGTTAATATTCAAGAAAAGCGCAAAACTTAATTTTTTTTATTAAAAAAAAATAATATATCCAAGTGCAACCCTTCATTTGCATTCCGTTGGCCTTGTGCACATATGACATTTGTATGTAAACATAACCAAAGAAAGAGTTTGTTGACGAATTTCCTGAATTAAAATTCTTTGCGAACCTCCTTACAATGGATCAATTATATATAGAAATAGAGATAAACACACGCAATGATAATACAGAAATCTACAGCAGTATTCAGTCATTCATGGCATTATACATGTACAAATACCTACAATCACCTTCAAACATTAAATTAAATTTCGTGCGCTCCACTATCCAGGGGGGCAAAGTGCGCCTCCGTTCAGAATCGTTGAGACGTGAGCTAACCGAGGAAAAGATACATTGCAAAGACGCGACAAGTGTTGAGGCTATAAGCGACCTTAAATTACCTATTTATGCAAAAGATGAAAATACCTTCATAGCAGGCATGTGTGCTGTTTGCAGGGAACTGGTTTCACGACAGGAATGTCCAGAGCGCCGTAAATTACTGGGCTTCAAAGGTGCCTGCTTGTTAGCCCCAGCGGAGGCATCCATTTGGACACGGTTTTGCGAAGTAGATGTCGTCGATGCAATCAGCCGGCTGTTGTGTACATTGGAATCCGGCGACGCCTTGGATGAGATACCAAAGGTAGTACCACGTTTTGAACGACACATGAACGAACCAGTGCGCATGCATAACATATACAAAACTGCACGTGAACAAGCGCAGCAACAAAACAAGCTACCGGGCGACAAAAAAAAGGGGAAAGTTATATTCGATTGTAGCATACCTAAGGAGCAATTGCCTATTGAACACCGTTTTGCAGAAGGAATCGCCTTTACTATAGCCGATATATTGTTATACACATTCATGCGTTTAATATTTAGGAATTGTGATGATATGTTGGTGCATTTTCCACTTATCAATACGTGGCTGAGTGAGGTAAGTTGACCAATAACTTGTGCACCGATTACGTATGGCGACCGAACTTTAGTTGCGTTGCCATAAGCTGAAAATTTATTTAAGATGGCTACTGAGTTCCTATATTGAAAAAAAAATATATTTATTGCGGTTAATTTCACTCAAATGTACTTCAAAATTCACTTAATTGCCTAGCGGTAACCCAACTTAGGTTGCGTTGCTATCCGTAATCGACCCATTAAAAAAAAACTTAACTTTAAAGTATCATTTTACCGTGTGATATACAGATTGACACTTTTGATCGCAGCTGTGGACAAATATTAAATGAATTGTACCTGCATCAATCAGCTAATCCATCAATTCCATTACTTAAAATTCCCGATTGCGAAGCTGCCAGTCTATACAAGAGCGATCCTAAGCGATATAAGCCGCGCAATCGAATTTTTACCGATCAAAGTAAAGTCGATGCAGCTCTGAATAAATTAGAAATGTTGCAACTGAAGTTTAACAGTGAGTCAGCAACGACATTTGAGGAGGAACATATTGATTGGGATGCTCTAGAACCAGAACATGAAAAGAGTTCGGCGTTACCCCGAGAACGTATTATACGGAAACGCCAACAACTACAAAATGTTGCTAACGCGGTCATATCATTAGCAAACCCAAACGAGAGAATCGTCGATTTCTGCAGTGGGACAGGTCATTTGGGAATATTGCTGGCATTGCAATTACCTAAGTGCACCATAATATTGATGGAAAATAAAGCAATTTCCTTAGAACGCGCGAAGCAGCGTGCCACTGAGTTGGGACTGAAAAACTGCAGATTCTATCAGTGTAATATTGATTACTTCGAGGGTAATTTTGATGTTGGCACCTCGTTGCATGCATGCGGCACGGCCACCGACATTGTGCTTCAACAGTGTCGGCGCTCGCACGCAAAGTTTGCTTGTTGTCCTTGCTGCTACGGATCGCTACAACCAATGCCACACATTCCATATCCCTTGAGTGACCGCTTTCGCGGAGTGTTGACTGAAAGAGATTATTTGTATATAGCACATACCGCTGACCAAGCACATGAACTGGGTACCTTAAACTGCCGCCCAGAAACTACACGACAAGGGCAGCTATGTATGGATATTGTTGATACTGACCGCAAGCTGCAAGCGGAAGAAGTTGGTTATGAAGTACTATTGACGCGTCTAAAACCAGAACAATGTACACCTAAAAATCGTTTATTGGTCGGACGTATTCCAAGTGCTAGCTGACATGTGTGCGCATTAAATTTATTTGCATGATTTAAGGCACGCCTGCCTCTTTAATGTTTTACGTAATTAAATGGGGCAAATTTTAATAAAAAATCGTTATTCTTTTATTTCTTCAAACGAGTGCAAACACCATTTCATTGAGATTGCATCGAAATTCGATTTGTGTTGCGCACCCACTCAATAAATCGTGTTTTAGCCCCACAACATTTTTGCTTTTCATTTATATAAATTGTTTTTATTTTTTTATGCCTTAAATAAGAACAGTCCACCTCGCAACGCCAGCACCAAATGAAGTACGGAACCACCTTGAACTTTGTAATCGGCGGCGGTTTTGTCGTCATTCCTGGAAGAGAAAAGCACATTTACTGCGGCGAAGAATCCATTTGAATAAAAAAATATATCAACTGAATACATCTGCCCAGAAGATAATTTAGGTAGGCCTTCTTAAGTAAAGTGCTTCCTTGCATGCCTTCTAGAAGGGCTTATCCATTTACAATTTACGCGAATGCATACATTTATATTGTTTAGCATTACAAATGAATTTAAATAAACATTATAAGTTGCAATAACACATATTTGAAACAAACCGTAAGCAAATACTTCAGAGATATATGATTTTTATAAATTAAAGAAGCAACTGTAAAAGAACACCTCCAAAAGGCCTTCTGGACTACGTCCTATAAAAGCCCTTCTGGAAGGCCTTCCATGGGTAGCGAAAGAAGAAGCCCTTCAATTTGTGCCACTCCATACAAAAACGAAAGGAATGTAGAGTGGAAGGCCTCTTGATTCTCGGGCTTTTAACTCTTGAAATTATCTACTGGGTGTGTTCGTATGGAATAGTAGTTTATCTCGGAAAGCTGGCTTTAGTGTAATGCGGCATTCCCTTAATTCTTTAAACGACAAGGAATTTTTTGATGAGACTTAATAAAAATATTGATTTGCTACTATCGGTACTATTTTTTGCACGTTTATTTGCCAAAAGTTCTTCAATGGCTCGGCGCGAGTGGGTCATTCGCAATCGTATGCTGCGAATGTTGCTTTATACTAAAGCCAGCCTTTCGACATATGCTACTATTTTATACCACAGAAATATTTGGTGCCATTAGGTTTGTTGGATATGAAAATAAAAGTTATATTAAAAAAAAAAAATACTCTTACATACATAATTTAAGTGCCTTACATTTGCTTTCCAGAGAAGATGAGTCGCTGCTGTTGTGGTGGTATACCTTCCTTTTCCTCCACTCGCTCCTTGATTCTGTCCACTTTGTCTGTAGGCTCAATGTCGATTTCGATTTCCTTACCGGTTAATGTCTAGCATAATAATAGATGAAAATTAATTAAATGTATGTAAGTCAAGATGTCCATAAGCAGCCTGCGGAATTTAAGCCCCGCATTGCATCAACAATGATTCGCAAATTCATCCAGAAAATTCAATCATTGCCTACTCACCTTAACTTTAATCAACATGTTGCGTGCGAATGTGTAGGGAAATTGTTGGAATTGCTACAGTAAATATTGTTTGAAATGGTTTTATTTTGTGCTTTTCACACTGTTTTTGCGTATAGTTTTTATTTTTGCACACAATTTACCGCAACCGCTTTTCCAAAATTTTTAATGTGAAAAGCCAAAATGACGTTTAATAGCTCGAGTTCCTTGACACTCGCTAATCAGCAAAACGGTAATGAATAATTTTAATACAGGGTGATAGGTGTGAAAAATGTGTGATTGACGGAATGCAACGTTAAATGTGTTTCTGTATTAAAATGCATTAGTGGCTAAATTAACAAATTTATCAAGTTATATACTAAATATAGTTAGTTTACCATGCAATTATTTAATTAATTTACCATGCAATTATTTAATTAATTTTATTAAAACCACCCCAACTGCAAGGGTAAAACTGTCAAAAAAACTGTCTGACGTCTTCTCTGTATAATTTCTTCCTGCTCCACAATAATAGCCGCGCACATTATTATTTCCTCCATGATTAATATTCTGCACTGGATACTATGTATTATTATATGCAAACGCAAAAATTTACTTTTTAACACACCTATTTAGGCAAATAAAATGATTTCAAAGTTTTTATTTAATAAAAATTTGTAACTTTTTCTGCAAAATTAATGAAATTGAAAATATTAACACATGCTTTAGCGTTGTCACGTACTCAATAGGTAATCACAAATATAATAACAGTAGTCACCGTTAGAGATTTCAAATTGCTCTCTTCATACCTAAAGGCCAGTATGCAGCTCTCAAGAAAGAACTTTGACCCCATAATAAGTCTGATAAACAAAAAAACAAAAAAAAAAAAACGGCCCTCCAAGCATTTAGGAAAAGTATTAGGTTCACAAAGTTTTAGATTTACCTGACGGCACAGCTGGCACAATTGTAGGCTCTGGTCAAATTGAGTAAGTCATAGGGCCATAGTTCGGGAGTTCAAGCTTTTTTCTCTTCGCGACAAATCTAACCCTAACTTACACGCCTATGCAATTGTCGAATAGGTATCAATCGCTCATACCCCTATAGCTCTCAAGAAGGCAGACTGATTATGTAAATATTTTTTGTATAGGTTCGTCTCTGGCTCATAGCCGACAATGGGGTCCAATAGCAAACGGTAATTGCTAAGAAATTTTCCTGAAATAGTTAAATTTGTCAGAAATTTCCATCATCGTAGTTCATCAGGTACATATGAACATTAGGATGGCCCTAGTTATATGGAGAAAAATAAAAGTGTTTAGATTATCGGTCTCACCCCCTAGAAATGTGTTAATAGCCAAAAGACTAAAGTATGCAAAGTTTTAGATCAATCAAAAGAGATTTAGAGGTAGCTCAAAGCGTTCAAAGTTTCCCAAGTATTTTATATGGGAAAAACAATTTTTCGTAGAAATGGTATAGAATCGTTGAAAAGCAATATTTTTCAAACGGCAAACTCCGTTTCTCTTCAGGAGATTTCAAAAAATATTACCCAATTGGTTATTTAAAATTTGTTTAATATTAACGATTTTTTATGGGTTCCCCCATTGCATTTTTCGGGTTTTGGGGGACCCAAAGAAAATAGTTAATATTAATACATTACTAAATAAACGATTGAGTGTTTTTTCTGAAAGTGTCCTGAAGATAAAAAGAGGTTGTCGATTGAAAAATATTGATTTTCTACCATTTCTACGAAAAATAGTTTTTTATACATATGAAATACATGGGACAATTTTGAGCGCTTTGAGCCACCTCTAAACCTTTTTTGATTGACTTAAAACTTTGCATAGTTTAGTCTTTAAGCTGTACACACATTTCTAGGGGGTGAGACCGAGAACCTGAACTCTTTTCGAAATAAGGGCCGCCCTAATGTACATATATACACAAATAGGTTAGGTTATTTTGATTTATTTTGTCGACCCCGAATTAGTGTCAAATTTGTCCTGAAGTATTAGGTCCCATCCTTATCTTTTCTGAATAAAATCTGAAAAGTGTCAAAATGCAAAGGCGTAAGCAAAATTCGTCAAAGATTGGCAACAACAAAACAAATAACAAGTAATTTTTAGCAAAAAAACCGACTTCAATTCTCATATAAAAAAATATATATATATACATACATATATATATATATATTATGATCCAATGATCGGATCCAAACCAGATTAGTATGGGACCACCTCTGAGACACTACCTTTCCGATGCAAAATCGGTTAACGTGGTCCAAAGTTATGCGGTAACATACATAAAAAAAATATTCCGACGAACTGATAACCTCCTCCTTTTTTGGAAGTCGGTTAAAAATAGAAATGTATGTACAACACACATTACCACAAGCACAAGTACAAAAAACACTTACAATATATCAATTATTTTTTGCCTCCTGTTTTTATTCCACTTTTTTAGTTTTTAGATTATTCTCACTTTTCGCGTATTCTTTAATTTCCGTTAATTTAAAATCAGTTGAGTTTGATGCTTTTCAATATTTTCCCAGCAAAATTTCTATCTCATTTCTGCTATCATTTTCAAGCTAAGAAACGCTTTTTGGACTAAATCTGACTGCTTAGAACTATTTCTGGGAGATAAAAAAAAGCTCTGAACTAAAACAAAAGGTTCATTTGTACACACAAAAAACAGTTACAAATTTTCTGCTGGGTTAACGCAAATTTAAACCATAATAAAAACATAGCAAGGTAGAACCGTTCTCTCAATTTGTCGGCCATGATTTTTTTTTGAAGTTTGTCAACATTTTAAAATCATATAAAAGTGAAAATTAAAAACTGAAATTGTTCGAAATTGTTGTTGCTTGAGATTGAAAATGAAAATGTGTGTGTGAGTTTGTGAGTAAATTTAAAAATTAAATTGTTTGGAAACGTCAAGAATTTCAAAAGTGACTCTCAGCGGTTCTACCTTACTATATTTTTATCATGATTTAAACCATACCGATAACTAAGATGTATACACATCTAAATTTGAATTAAAATCAATTAAACGAGTATATTTAAATGCTATTTGATTTTGTAGTTTTATTAAAAAATAGTAAAAGTCTCATTTATCATATGTATATGTAAATATGTAATTGTAATTATCTACGCACTTAACCTAAAACTATTTAGTATTCTGAGATAACACTTCTTGCGGATGCTCTAAATTATTCTCCGTAATTTATTCTGTGCTGCGACATTTTCTGAAATTAGACGAACATCCCGGGCATATGTGCGACAGCAGCCACCAATAATTTTCGCGCCCAATTTCGACCATTCGGGCACATAACTCGCCAACGGTACACAGTGTTCGCGGCCCAGCCAACCCTTGGCAACATCATAGACCTCACCGCTATTGGGGTACACAACCAGTGGAATCTTTTCCGCATCTGGTGTATTGCCATTTAAACTTTTTAACAGTGGTGTTACAAACTGAAATATTCACAAAAAAAAATATATATATATATGTAAAAATTTAATATTTCATACATATGTATGCACTTAAGACATGCTTTAAAATCACACCTTCGGATGCACACAATTGACACCTATTGCCAAGCATCGTTCCTGGGCATCCCGCTCCTTCAGCAATTCCCATAGCGAGCGCGCCACCTCAACGAAATTCTCACCATGCGCTAAAGTACTTTCATCTTGACACTGGTAGGAAACCCAAAATTTCACACCTGGGTAATCATCACACAACATTTCTACCAATGCTTCAGCTTCAGCCTGACAGGGTATTGTTTCAATGGCCAAAGCATCTACGCCCGCCGCTAGGCATGCATCAATGCGTACGCGATGCCAGTCGGTGATCTCTTTTATTGGTACATGATCCACATATTCGCCAGTGTACTCCGAACCGTCGTGCAGATGCGCGCCAAATGGACCAATTGACGCGATAATCATAGGCAAACCTGAGGAAATAACCAAAAAACAAAAAGAAAAGAACAGGGTGAACATTTTTTAAGAAAAATTATTGTTTCCGCTTGACGTCCGTGTTTCCGTTTCGTTTCACATGAGATTTTCTTTTAACGACAACTTTAAATAAAATAACGCGAGTGAAAGACCAATATTGAATAGCATAATTATTGTGTTAATTTGTTTCTAAGCTTACCTACAGGTACGTGCAAATTTGCCTCAGCACATTCCGCCAAATATTTATCTTTAGCAATATGCGCCAGACGTACGGATTTCTTTATCAATTCAATGCTCTGCTCCACATCCAAATCCAAATATTCGATATAGCCTTCCACACTAGTTTGATAGGTGTTTGTTAGTATGATATCAGCACCATCTAATAAATAAAATACACGTATGTATGTATGTAAGTATTTGTTCACATGTACACACATATTTATTAAATTATGTTTAAAACAATTCTATAATAAGTTAATCTATTTACTAGTGGAAAATTACCATCGCTCTGTATGATTGCTTGATCCAGCCAATAGGTTTAATTCTATGCAAATATGTATGGCTATCAGCTTTTTCACATGTGTGAGTATGTTGTGTTTGTTTTAAAATAAACATATTTACATACTTACTTTGCAAAAAGTCCAAATGAGTATTGATAACAGCTGCCGGATTTGTGGCATTGAATCTAGCGCTCCATAATGGATCACCATCGACCGCATTGCCAACGTGCACTGTCATTTGTGTACCGAAGCCACCATCTTTGGTTAGTATGCGTGTAAGACCCATGTTAGGCGATATTGAACTGTAAAGGAATACATTTGTTAAAGTATCCAAGAATGTACGCACACAATTGAAAAAAAAAAAAAATTATAAATAACTTTAATTTAATTTAAGAAAATAGAAAAACCAGTCAAGTCATATGAGAGTATTAGCCGATAATTTGATACTTTTTGTTTAATTTATCGCATGTCGTTTTTTAAAGACAAGTACAAACTCAAAGCTATGTATGACAAGCGAGGTCTTCAGCTTACTGATATCAGTAACTTATGCTAATTATTTGATACTATTTCTTATCAACAGCTAACAAATGTGATTCGATGATACTAAATCAAGAAAAGCCTGTTTGCAGAAAATCATTTTGTTTTAAACATTTCTCGCTTCTTCCAAAAACTTAATTTACTGCCAATTTAAATTTCTCTTTTAATTGCTGTATTATCAGTATCATTTATGTAAGTATTTTTGTTTTAATTCGTTATTATTTTGTTTAATGTGGACCTTGACATCTGTTGCATTATCTGCCATAATATCATGTACTGTGCGCTCTTTTGTGTTGCTAAGTCGGGCCGTACAGTGTAACGAATGCGGCCAAAAATAGTAAAAATGATGTTGAAAATTCGGAATTACCCAATCGACAGTAAATACTCGAGTATAAACAAACGGAATATTTTTCAAAAATTTTGATGTGTACTATTTTTTGCTGTTTTAAAAATAAAATATTTCAATTTTCAGTTGCAATTATAGGCAAATTTGATTATTCATGAAAATAAAAGAAATGTCTAAAACTAATACAATTTGTTTATTAGAGTTTATTATATTATTATACATAGGTAGGTAGGTTATATGGCATGTGACATGACAGCGGACCAACTTTAAAAATTTTCATATATGTTGAAGATATCATCAAATCTTAAATTTCATTGCAATCGGATAAAATTTGGTATATGAAACCGATGATTTTAGTTTCCAATTCTATGGGAGATAGGCGTGTCCTTCATCCGCTTTTGCTCAAATTTCAAATTTTTCTTAATATATACCTACAAATCCACTGTGTAAAATTTCATTTGATCTGCGACAACTTCTTCAACTTTTGGCCACTCAGTATATAGGGAGGTTACACTGTGCGACGCGTCGACGTCATTATCATAGTAAGTGTTTTTCTCATTAGGGGTCTTCATCTAAAGTGATAAATTACTTAAATTGATCAGTTTATCCGCATTCTTTCATGAATGTACCTTGGTAAATAATTGCACAAAATTGTTTATTATTTAACTTATCTGGCTAGTTACGTTTCGTTCTTACCTCGTCCATTGTGCAAATTTGCTTTTTATGTGTTCGTAGAAAAATCTACCACCTGGCAGTCTGTCAGGGTTAAATTTTGCTGAAATTTATACGTTTGCCCACCCAAATCGTTTGATAAAGTGATAAACTTTGGTTAAATAGATTTCCATACAAAGTTTGACAGTTCATTTATCAAAATGATAAATTTATCGTTTTAACAAGTTATCAACAGTTTATCACTTTTGATGAAGACCCCTATTGTAGTAAAAAAATGTTTTTATATGCAAAAAAGAACGCATGTGCAAATACATATGTGTGTATGTATGTAGCTACTTTGTCTGAATATACTTAGTATTCCATATATATAGTATATTCATCTACAAGAGTATCTATTTATATTTTATTTAGCAATCAAGACGATAAGTGCAATGACCTGATGAACTGTTATTGATTATTGTGAAGAGTATTCACATGTTTATATGTAAATACATAAGTATAGTATAGTTAAGTACCTGCTTTGTTTTCATTCATTTAGTATACATATTGTAGACATGCTTATCGATACTCGATGTTGGTTACTGTTGCCAGGTTCAACATAAGTGAATCCTCGCATAATTTTTTCTTCGTTAAAATGTTTATGGCTTGAGACCCGCCAACTAAAAATAGCAACCATTGCAAAGAACAAACAAGCCTGGTATAGTGACATCCTCCTGACACTCGTTGATGACCCCCGCATATGAAACCAGGACAAGGCTTTACCGATATAAACCTAGAATGTTTAGACTCCCTATAGGGAAGGTGCCCCACAGTGCTGCCGCAAGTACTACGATAGGAGTTGTTTACTACTATTTTATCATTCTCACTTCCATACTCCCCAAGGATCGATTATACAACTATTTTGCGAGATAGTTAAATTTTGAATTAAAATGTTTAAAGTACAATATCGAATTGAACACTGCAAAGAACATTGCATGGAGTAATTTCCGATCACACCTTTTTTCTTTCGTTATATTTACCAACATAATTTATCTGCGGCGACAGCGTAGCCGTAATTGGACTGATGAAGGTTATTTTTTGGAAACAAAGCCTTCCGACTCGAAAAGAATTCGGACTCAATAATATTGTGGACTACGTTAATATATAGGTTTCTATTCTCGGGCCAGAACGACAAAAGGTTTAAAATGTCAAATAAGAAGAAGAAAAAGATATTTAAAATTAGGTTAAGAAATACTACAAAGAAAATCATTTCATTTGGTTTTATTGACTATTACTTAATCAAAATAAAAAAGGGATATATTTTTTTGCGGATCTGCGGCATTAAAATTCCGACTTTACTGTTTACTGGACCACTCTAATGTACTCGTATGTAGATACATTCTATGTAACTAGATAATTACATATTATACATATGCGACCTGGTCTACGGAAAGGGGGCTTAGGTGTCAAAAAATCAATTTTCACTTTTTGGTTGATTCGGATGGAAGATGAGATGCTTTTTCACTTTTAACAGCTTTTTCACAGAAAACTAGTTTTCGCACGTAAGCTCCCTTTTCGTAGACCAGGTCACATATATTGAACATTGCCACACCCCTCTTAATATATGCATGTATGCATAAATGTATTATCTTTTGATTCTTAGTAACAAACTTGTGATTAACATCTGTTGTTTTCGACCCCATAAATCGCGCCTGTGAATGACGCCAGTAGCCAAGTGGTTGCTAACAGTCTGTCAAGCGATGAATAAATATTTAATGAGTATAACATGAGTTAGGTGGGAGAGTAGGTCTGCTCTGATATGATTTGATAAAATATGACTTACAAAATATTATTAGGATTAATTAAATGTATGTAGATAAATGATAATCGATTGATTTATGCATGTTGTGATAGAAATGTATGTACGTGATAGAAACCGGTAGACAGAGGCTCACCACTTGAACATTTTTTTTTGAAAATGAGAAGAAGAAGAATTTTAGTTAATAGTTTGAAGATTCCAGTAGCTTTGTAGATAAAGACAATGCTTTTTTTTTACAAAAATTAATAATAATAATAATAGATTTGCGTCTAGACAATATGTTAGTTTTTGGCCGAACTTCTCCTCCAATTCTTTAGCGAGCGCCCTGATGTTGTCATACAAAGTGGAGCGATCTAAAGTTTTACGCCAACTCCGAATGATGATTGTATTTTTATGAGAAGCTGTTTTTCATTGCAGAAATACACTCATACACTCGGAGGTTTCCCATCGAATGCCGAGGGGCGACCGCTATTAAAAAAAAAAAACATTTTCTTTTCCTTCTTTGTTTATGTTTTATGAAACCGGGTTCGATTCTAGGCCTTGTGGAATGGTAGTGCACACTTCTAACCACTATAATACAGCGGCCGTCAAAAAACTACTCGCTGATACTACATAATTCGTATGTCTAAAAGGAGTGAATCTATCAGTCTAGAGTTCTGCATTTCGATGGCATCATTTGATTTTGGAAAACTACGTTTCTATGCATGTTCATGTATGTTTTGAGCAAATGTTACAATTTTAATTTAGTAGATACAAATCTTAGTTGGAATCAGTATAAAAAATGATCAACGTGGCGTATGAGTGATTGTATTTGCTACTTTGAAAATTTATAGTTTTGACTCTCCTTCTGATAAGTATACTGTACATACATATGTATTTAAAACTAGTTTCTTTTCTTAAATACAGTGTATGGATAGAATAGTAAATTAGTAAATTAGTTAAAAGTATTAGGAACTAAATAAGTCATCGGCAGGCAACCTCTGTAGAAATAAAATAGATGTATTCATTAGTTATTTATTTACAAAAAAAAGTACGGTGAGAAAATTGTGATAATAGTACTATACTACTTTAAAGGATTTTTGAGTTGCAAGCATGAATCTTGCAGTTTTCGGAGGGCTCTATTGTATGATTGTGGAAAAAACGTCGGAACTACGGTGCGTATGAGCAACTTTTTGTAATTTTGAGCTGAACTTTAAGAAGGAAGTATCAATCTGCGCTAAAATACCAAATTAGTGAAATATTAATGATTTTTTAATAAATAAAAACTAGTGAGTTATATGCCTATAGAAAATTATATAAAGTACATACATACATATCGTTAGTACAGTATGGAATGGGCGTAACTTACATCGTCGCTGAAATACAAAAAGCCGTAACTAACTAAAAATCCAAAATTCGCTTTTTGAATGATGGGGAAAAGCAAAAAAAAAACATTTTTTTATTTACATAGTAAAGGCTAGTCCTCTAGGTGGGACGCCTCAAAATGCTTGGATGTTATAAACCAATTTTTTTTTAAATCTAACTTAAGAGCCAGCGGTATGCATTAAAAAACCGCGGAAAATAAAATAAAAATTAGCTGTCTTGTTTGATTCTTCCGTTGACGACGTTGCGCCATTTCAATTGTCATTTTTAAAAGCTTTTAAAACCAGGGACGTGAACCTGATGAAAAATTTGGTCAGTTCGGTTCCGCAGTTCGAACCGTTTTTGCCATTTTGGATTGATTCGTCAAAGTCGGTTTTTTGTTTGTATTTGAACCAGGGTTTCGGTTCGGTTCAACGGTTCGGAAAAAAATAACGCGCAAGTGTAAGTGTCAAGTGCAACAACGCGCAAGGTTAAGTGTCAAGTGTCTGTCAAATAAGATGGGTAGCCTTTGCGTTTGATATTGCCACATCGTAAACAAACATGGTATTCTTACTATATGTATTTAACAAAAAGAAAGAAGTTTGAAGAAAGAAAATTGCTTAAAACTAACCTTTAAACCTTTATGACAAGTGTTTCGGTTTCGGTTCGGATCGAAACATTTGTGGAAACTTTTGATTCGGTTAATGGTTCACTTAATTAATAGAAAAAAGCGGCTTCTCGGTCGGAAACCCGCTCACGTCCCTGCTTAAGACAACTTTGTACGACAAATGGTTTTTATGGTGAGCTTTTTTTATGTTAACACTTAATATAATGGAGGAGCTATCATTTAAAAAAAAATTGTATTTTGCTATTACGTGGATATTTTATTGACAAAAGATTGAACCCGCCAAATAAGGAGTGACAGAGTACATTCCTTCCAAAGGTCTACATATTTACCATATCTCTGAAAGATTCAACCTCTCAAGACCAATGTAAACCGGCTTTCCATTTATAAAAGAAATGCCTTAATTTTTTGAAGGTTTAATGAATATATAAAAAAAATTTACGGTTTAAGAAATATCAAAAAAATTTTATTTTATTTAACCCTAAATAGACCGCAATCTAGTTATGTAAAAATGAAACAATAATTTTTTTCACTTTCAGGCTTAAGGTGCTGAAAGCCTAAAATACTGACTTGATAACCCTTAAAGACCCCAGCTATATATAATATGTACATATATAGTTATTCGCTCTTGAAGCTACCATTTAGAATCTACATAAGTAAATGCAAACTAGTGCGAGTTATCACCTTATACTATATTCAGGTTTTTGTATTTTCTTTTGCTTTTGCGGTGCTGCTGTTCATAACTTACCTTGTCGTTGGCGTGAATATAAATTTCGTTGGTTTTAATTTGTTTTTATTTTTACTTAATTGTCTCTGTATGTATGGCGAGATATTTCTTTATGCGTTTGTTTACTAGCACTTTACTGACGCGCTATCTTGACTTAATAATAATAGAAATGCACTAGAAATGAGCATTCGTACATATGTATGTATGTATGAATGTATGTACTTGTGTGTATATATTTAAGTGTATTTATGGCGCTCGATATACTGAAGGTGTAATCACAGCGTTATTTTGTGCGTTATTTTTAAAATATGTAGTACTGCTAGTTTCTGTATTTTCTATTTATTTTTACTAATTATTCATTTACATATAATTTCTTAACAAGCACGAACACTTCAGGTATGTACGTATATAGATGTACATATGTATTTATGTTGACAAAATTTATGTACGAGCAAATGTCACTGCAGCCCCCGTTAAGAATTAATTCTTGTTCTTTGTACTCGTAATATATTGCTGCGCCGTTTGAAAGCTTTTTTTTTGTAAAATTTTTTACAAACTTTTGTCTCACGTCCAAACAGATGTGCGTCCCGCGAACATCTAATTTGATTTGCATGCGTCTCAAGGTTTTTATAACCCCAGCGCCTAGCCGGTTGTCGTATAACGAGGCAATCGTACATACATACATAAGTATGTATGTATGGACGTATATGTACATACAAGCGCAACTATGCGTCGTATCAGCGTAGACCAGGGATGGGCAGATTTTTGCCTCTTAAAGCAGTAAAAGAGCTACGCAAGAGTTAAATCAGTTCTCAGGGTAAAGGGCGTGTAAAAAATACACTAAAAGCATCATTTATATTAGTGATGAGAATCGGAGTACAAGAAACTTTAATACGCTCCTGTTCCCCCTTCATGCTGGCTTTTGATATTACCCCCCATCTAGCACATAAATGCGCCAAACCGGCTCCTAAGAGCAAAAGGCTCCTGGGAGCCACTTTGCCCATCTCTGGCGTAGACGAATACGGGATACATCTGGCAGTAGATTGGGGCCTATGTGCCAATTTATGCATATGTACATATGTATGTATGTATGTATGTCTGTGTATACTAATGCTTGTATTATAGCCTTCAAAATATGTTTACTTGCCATTTTCATTGTTTGGTTCATATCAGAGAATATTGATAAGAGACATTAAAGTACGTATGTATGTATTTACATACGCTGTAGAACGGCTTTGTATAGGTATGTATATGTAATGTGTATATGCATATGGTCTCAAATCTCACATACAATGTACGCACATTGACATATGTGGGTACATACATTTGTACAATTTATTTATAATATTTAGTTTTAGACGGACACTCTCGTTGTTATCACTTAATTGGTTGGCAGCTATCGTATAATTGTTTGTTGCTAATAGTGATAAGAATATTGTATATAAAAACAAGTAAGAAAGTCTAAGTTCGGGCGGAGCCGAACATTAAATACCCGGCGCAAGTATTAAATATATGTTTCTTCACCTTTCCGAAACCTACCGCTAGATGGTAAGCCGGGGTGTATCAATTTTGAGTAAATTGGCGTCCTCCAATTTCGAAATATTGAAGTTTCAAGCATTTCTGAAATTTACCGTTATATGAAAAGCGGCCGTAATTTTAGTCCGATTTCAATAACTTTCGACGCTTTGCTTTCATGTGGCAAGCACAATAACCACACCGAGTTTGCTACAAATTGGTAGAACGGTTACCGAAATATATATATGTGATCATAAGTGGGCGGTGCCCCGCCCATTTTCCAAAATTGTACCATAAAAGTATTTCTTGGTAAAGAATTTTTGCAAGCATCAATTTTGAATAAATTAGCTTCAATATTTACTGATTTATTGAAGATTTTGTATTTCTCTAAATTACCGTTATATGGGATGTGGGCGTGGTTATTGTCCGAATTAAAAGATTTTCGGCCATTTGGTATGGTGTACCAAGGCCAACAACTGTGCCAAGTTTGGAAGAAATTCGTGCAGCGGTTCCTAAGATATACACATGTAACCATAAGTGGGCGTGGCTACGCCCATTTTCCAAAAATTTGTAATATTCTTATTTTTCGTCTAAAAATTGTTGTAAATATCAATTTTGAGTGAATTATCTTCAGTAGTTACTAAAATATCGCAGTTTTCGTATTTCCGAAAATTGCCGTTATATGGGATGTGGGCGTGGTTATTGTCCGATTTTAAAACTTTTCGGCCATTTGGTATGCTGTGCGAAGGCCAACAACTGTGCCAAGTTTGGAAGAAATTGGTGCAGCGGTTACCAAGATATACACATGTAACCATAAGTGGGCGTGGCTACGCCCATTTTCCAAAAATTTATAATATTCTTATTTTTCGTCTAAAACTCATTGTAAATATCAATTTTGAGTGAATTATCTTCAGTAGTTACTAAAATATCGCAGTTTTCGCATTTCTGAAATTTACCGTTATATGGGAGGTAGGCGTGGTTATTGTCCGATTTCGCCCATTTGCAATACCATCCGTCCTACGCCCAGAAGAAGTCCATGTACCAAGTTTCGTTAAGATATCTCAATTTTTACTCGAGTTATCGTGTGCACAGACGGACGGACGGACGGACGGACGGACAGACAGTCACCGCTTAATCGATTTCTCTTTTCATTCTGATCATTTATGTATACATTTGTCTATATCTATCTCGATTCGTTTTGCCTGTTACAAACAACCGTTATGTGAACAAAGTTATAATACCCTTGTGTACAAGTGCGCTCGGGTATAACGAGGCACGGAACATACATATGTATGTATATGCATGCATATGCATGTATGTATGTACGCACATTATGGTGGACCAAAAATGCTTGTGAGAAAAACAACGTCGGAATTTTAATACCCTCACTCCTAGGATTGTTTTAAAAGGAAAAAATATACCCCTCTGTTTTTTTTTTAATCAAAAAATATTCAAAAAAGTCTCTCAAAGCGCACAAAGTTTCCCATATATTTTAAATGGGGAAAAAACTATGTTTCGTAGAAATGTTATAGAATTCTTGAAACTCAATACTTTTCAATCGGTAAACTATGTTTCACTTCAAGATACCCAATTCTTTATTTAACCATTTTTTAATATTAACGATTTTCACGGGTCGGGATTGCCACCTTTCTAAAGAATACAACAACGGTTATCAAAACGTTAAACTATTTAATACGCCAATATGGGTATCAAATGGGAAGTTTATGCAGCAAAGGTTTTTGAAAATACATACTTCAATCCACATATATTTTTGGATTGGGTTGCTATTTATGTATAACAAAAATGTTTTTTTTTTAAATCATGCTACACGCGGTTAAGTAAAATATGAGTTTCAAACAAAAGGTGTTTAAATAAAGCTTTAACCCATACATATTTCTGGATAGAGTTGGCACCTATGTATCTAAAAAATTAAAGTGAAACTGATTTCGACGTTGTGCCATGTTCAGCAACATTTATCGTTCTGAGTAGTTTCTGTTTTTTCGTCACTGCGTATTTAGCACGGCTATAAAGAGTGACGTAGTTTTGTTTCCAAGAACGCTTTAAAACGAAAACCGAAATGGGAATTATATAAGAACAAAACCCTGTGGAATGTTCTCAAGGAAAACAAAGTGCTAACATTACCTTCGGGAACATTTCTAAGAGAACAAAACGGGAACAAAAGTATAAAGAACTCTCTCTGAATGACCTTATTTGCAAAGAAATAAAAAGGGTGAGAAAATTCATTTCCATTGATACCTCATAAGCCTGAATCGATAAAGTGTAGGCTGAGTTATTTAAGTTTTTCTTAAAACAGTCTTTGAAAAAAGTTCAAAAAGAGCATCAAAAATCTCATTATTGTGATTCCGTTGAAAATATTAGCTTTTGTCACTTAAGGTGATTTTTTGCAAAAAATACTTAAAAAAACTATTTTGATTCATAAAAAACTAAATTTTTGGAGGTATTTTCAAATCGGTCCAGCTCACGTAAATCTTTATATTTTTCGAAATATTTCGGTGAAAGTCTTAAGATATAATAGATTTTATAATTCCCGTGGAAAAACAGCACCGATTTTTTATATTTTTTTTTGTATGGGGAGTGATGCAGTCTAATGTACATACATATGTACGTCAGTATGTACATATGTATAACCTATGTAAGACGACTGTCTAGCAGCAAATTGTAGCTTCCGATGTTTTTGTTGTTGCTTGTTTTTATTATTTTTCAAGTCAATGAGCACAGCACTGATCAATAAATTCAAAGCAGCATTTATGTGTATTTATTATCGCCAGCCATAAATACTGTTCTATATTTTTATTTTATAAATAAGTAGAAACGCACACAAGTACCACCATCTATGCAAATGCATTCGTAAATATGCTAAGTATGTATGTATGTATATACAAATATACAAACAAATGTGTCGTTATTTTTGTTCTAAATAAGATTGTTCGATTAGGTGAAGGTGATTGCCCCAAACAGCGGCACACTTGGACCATAAACATGGGTCCTTTTTGAGACCACTTACTATCGTCAGGCCACAGCGAAAAGCGGTGTGTGGCAAGAACGAAGTTTCGCAGGCGGCTGTTGGCACTTCCGCGAAGCTTCGCCGGACTAGGTTTACTCGGTAACTTCCAAAAGCTGAGAAGCTCCAGAGAAATAATAAGTAATATATTTATTTAGTCTGTCCGCGTAAAAACTCGTGGGAAAATATATATCCTGTCAATACAGCCACCAGAATAAAGGTTGCAGCTTTGTGAGCTAAAAATGATTTCTTGACGCACTTCGGTCCACCTTCGGCCACTAACACCGTGTTGAAGCACATATCTTGGTTTTCGGGCAGTATTCGCTAAACTGATACTAGTCCCATCTGCCCTTTCTATTTTCTCGGTGAGACCGCCCCGCGTGTGCCTCTTCATATATTATTGATGTGTAAACACCTTAAATATCGGTATGGAAAAAAATTGCGTTAACCCAGCTAAAAAAATGCTAACTGCTTCTTGTGTAACCCAGCAGAAGATCTGTAATTGCTTCTTGTGTGTACAAATGAACATTTCACGACTAGTTCGTCACTATTTCAGGACCATTTCGGGACTAGTTCACGACTATTTGAAAATCATTTTGGGTCTAGTTCTGGATAATTTCAGGATAGTTAGGGTACAATGAAATTAATGTTTAATTTCTAACCTCACATATTTATGTATGTATGTGTAATTGAATCGCTAAATGCTTTTCCATTGCGTACACAGATGTTTACACATCAAAATTCATGAGTATCTACAATGCAATTAGATTTTCAGATTTGTTATTTATATTTATATTGAAATAATTATTTTTACTTACATTGATTTAACTTTAAAAATCTTAACCACCTCCAAGCGGCCTC